TGGGGCTGTGCTGCCTCTCTCTGTTCCAGGGCGACAGCGACCCCAATGCTCACACCCCCGGGGCATGGGGAGAGCAGGGGTGCTGGCAGGGTGAGATGGGGAGTAGCCCACAGGGTTTGCCCCCCCTTCCCCCCCCAGCCAGGAGAGTGGGACCTGTGCTTCCCCCCAGACACATGGACAGAGACAGACAGGCAGGCGGAGACCCAGAGTCAGACAGGGACAGAGACCGAGAATCAGACAGACGGGGACAGGCCGGAGAGACGCAGAGAGAGAAACAGACCCAGTCAGACAGATGGACTGACCTAGACAGCTGCAGGGACAGGAGGGGCGGGCGCATCGCTGTCATGAGCAGACCTGGCTAGCGGGGGCCTCTCGCCCCCCAGCATTCTGCCCTCATCCATGGGGCGCAGCACCCACCCCTGCATCCCCTGAGCCTGGAGGAGGGGTCCCAACTGAGGGGAGAAGAATGGGGCTATGGGGACTGAATCTGGGGGTCACAGCCGGGGGGGGGGGGAAGGGACGGGAGCTGGGGAGATCCTGGCTGTGATGGAGCTGTGGGGAGAGGAGGATGGGGCTGGGTGTGTGGGGGTCCCAGCTGGGGGAAAGGGAATGGGGGGTATAGGGGAGGGGTCCCAGGGTCCCAGCGGTGTGTTGGCTCTAAGTGCCTGGGGGGGGGATGGATTTCTCCTCCCTCCCTTTGCTTCTCTGTGTCTGTTTGTGTGTCCGTCTGTCTCTCTGTCCAACTGCTCCCTAAATTTAGATTTCATCGTGGACTATGGACATGTGGAGATGATAGACTGCGTCTCGATAGGACAGGTCTCAATAGACCGTGTTTGCGAGCGGCCGGCGAGCATAGTGCGCATAGATGAACCGAACCACCGCAGCTTCTTCGGGCGCCTGGCCCGTGCCTTGCGTGTGGCACGTGAGTACCACTGTCACGAGTGCCTGCACCTCCTGAAGTCCAGTACTGGCCATCCCCTCCCTTGGAATTGCCTGTCCTGGCTCCGTGGCCTCCCAAAGCGCAGCTGGGGGGGCCCCCAACACAAGGGCAGACAGTCCTACAACCAGGGGGCCCCTCCGGAGACGGCACCCCAGAAAGGTGAGGGGGGCAGGGGCTGGAAGTCAGGACTCCGGGGGTGGGCAAACGCCAGGGTGACGCTTCATCGGGTTAGAGACGGACGTGCCCTGAAGGTCATGGAGCTGTGCAAGTATTTAAAAACTACATAGAAAATAAAGGAAATTCCTGGGCGAAAAACCTTTGTGTCTCTGGGGGAGGGGGAATCCTTAGCTGTTTTTTTTTAAGTGTCGTGAAGCAAATTATCTTGAAACAAAATGAATAAAAAAATAAGGAAACCCCCAGGCAAAAAACTCTGTGAAGCTGGAATTTGGGGTGTGAGTTTGTATCAGTGAGCTAAGTGTGTGTGTTGGGGAGGGAGGGATCAGTAGTTTTTAGTAACAGAAATGTCTCTGAGCAGTTTTCTCTGAAATAAACACAGAGGGAAATTCCCAGGCAAAAAAACCTTGTGAAACTGGGCCTAAGCTTGGACGTTTGTACAGGCGAGTTCAGGGGCAAAAGTCTTTATTGGCACATTCTGGGCTGGGTCATTCACAGGGAGTTAGGTGCCCATCTCCGATTGAAAGTTAATTGTAATCCCATGGGTGCAAGAAGGGGCAGAGTTAAGGATGTCTGTGGAGGGGTTAAGGGTGCAGAAGAGCAGGTAAAGGGTGCCCATGGATGAGGTAGTGTTAAGGGTGCAGAGGAGCAGGTTAAGGACACTCATGGAGGGACAGAGTTAAGGACACACAGAGGGTCAGACTTAAGGTTGTTGGCTGTCCCCCAGCCTGGACAGGCCATGTCTCTGTTCTGTACCCACAACCCTGTACCAGCCCCATCTCCCCATGTCTCTCCCCAGGGCGGGAACCGGAGGAGTCTCCCTTGCTGAGGCTGGTGTCTCTGCAAAATGCCGATGGCTCATGGGACCTGGAC